AGCTCTTCTCTCCACAGAGCCTCTGGTTTCTTCCTGCTCCGAAAGCCAGCCTCGACTCTCAAGCTGCCAAACTGGCTTTTTCAAAAACATTTCTGTTTTCACCCTGCATGAGCTCATCGGTCTGCAATGTCGTGTGGACTCAGAGCAGGCTGGAGAGGATGTGCCCTGGGCACCCCTCCCCACCCTGTCCTCAGTGTCAGCATCATCCTGGGAGCAGCAGCGCTGCAAGGCCACCTTCCTCTTCATCCGCCCCATTGTCCCAGCGTGGCTGTGTTTTGATAGCAGCTGAGGAGCGTTGGAGGAACTCCGGGCGCCGCCCAGCAAATCTCCCCTGCCATCAGAACCTCGCTGTCCACAAGAAATAAGATCCAGCTCTTTGCCACGACATGAAAGGGACAAGGGAATTACAGGCAAATATGGTTTTTGAAACTCCAGCCACATCACAGGCGGGCTCCTCACTCTCCACCTTGATATGGTTTCCTGCGTTCCCAAGTAGAAAGTGCTTCGCTCCTTCTTTTCTCTTGCAGGCTTAGTGGTTTGACAGAGCTGGGTGTTTATTGTGGTCAATGTTTGGAAACAGATGTGGGGGAATCCAGTGGCCCCTGACACCCCAGGCACAGGCTCTGGCTCTTTGGATGCTCCTTTTGGCAGCATCCAAACAGGGGCTCTCTTGCAGCTTCTCCCTGTCGACCTGTGTGCCATTTCTGGGTTCTGTTGCTTAAAAGCCTGGATATGCAGGCCATGCAGGGCAGTTCCCACCTGCCACATGTTCCTGTCCTTCTTCAGTATCTCATGGTTGCTATGTCTTAATTATTCAGAAGGCACTTTTCTTTTTCCAAAAATGTGAATAAACTTAGGAGTAGCCGTGGTTTCCTTTGGTTGAGCCACCACCATAAAGAAGCATAGCCTCCTTGTACTGGTGGTGCAGCCTTCTGGGCTCCGATGCTGTTTCCAGGGCCACACTGGCCAGCCCTGCTGAGAGGGAGGAACGGATGCCTTCCCCTTCTCTTTTGTTAAGTAGCTTAAGAGGCAACTGTTCCATTCAGTAGCTAGCACTTGGTTTCTCGGGTTCCTGTCCACTCCTTCACCTGGGAATTTTTTTTTTGTTTTTTAAGAATTTTCTGTCTGAACCTATTGTGACCTGAAATTTTCTTGGACAGATTCCATAAAACTAACCTGGAAAATTCATATTATCACTCCAGAAAGTTCATGATGAGGCTAATGATAAAAAAAAAACACCCAATACTTACTGAATGCTCTCCATGTAGCTGGCTTGTAAGTCCTTGACCTCAGTATTTATTATCCCATTTAAGAGATGAGAAAACTGAGGACCAAAGAGAGTAAGTAACTTGTCCAAGGTCACCCAGCAAAAGGTGGAAAGCCAGGATCAGAGGCAGTTAACAGTTACGCTGCAAATTTACCCACAAAGTTAAAGTCTTCTCCCTTGTCTTATTCCAGAAAAGAGTCAAGAATAAACTCCTGGTTCCATCAACAGGCAGATTCTGTCTGGAGTAGCTGTGTCCTAGAGACCTTTTTGGTATTATTTTCAATTGCTAAGTTTTTCCTGGGAAATTAAAAGTTCCACCTTGGAATGTGAATCAATAGGAGCCAAAGGAACAGTTTACTGGATGTCACACTGGCCTGAGTGGCGGCTGCTAGGGATGGGACACACACCCTGGACCCTCACAGCCCTGTCTTCTCCAGCCCCCAGGCGAGAGTCACCAAGCACCTGCATAGTACCTAAAGGGAAAATCATAGTCGTGGGTCTCCTTTGGACTACTTGCAAGGCACACACAGTAGTCTAGGTACCTGTCTCCTCACTCTCACCAACCTAGAAAGGAGACACTGTTGTTATTCTTAATTTACAGGTGAGAAAACTGAGGCAGGGAGAGATTCAGGTCTTACTCAAGGCCTCTCAGCTACCATTAATCAGGGTAACCCCCAATTTAGAGGGGAGTTGGCTCATCCCTGAAGCAAAGGTATTATAGAGGAGACCCAAGCTTCTCAAGTCTTCCAAGATCAAATGTCCCCCGGGCAGCCACCCAAATGGTAGTCATTGTGCTGGTGGACACCCCAAGTTCAGTGCTGGTTGTGTGGGTGCCCATGGTTGAGTCATTGGTCTCTGTCAGCTTCACCATCCGCACCTTTAAGTGGGAATGGAGATGCCGCACTTGGGATGGGACCCATGCCCGTGCATTAGGGTCAAAGCCCTGCATAGGAGCAGAGGCCTTCCTTCCTGCCTGCCTGCCTTCCTTTTTACATCATCATCTCACTCCATTGATGCTTCCGCAGGAATCCAGCCCTGGGCTATGTGTCAGGGTGGCCACTTCCTGCAGAGACAGATGACTGGCAGTTTCAGTGCTGGACTCCACTGGGGTTGCTTGTCTAAGAAACAAAGGGGTTCTCTTTACCCCAGGCTGGAAATAGAAAAGAATCCCTGCATTGAGCTGCTGCACGCTCGCTCGCCCTGCGTAACCACCTCCCTCCGCAGTCCACGAGCTGCTCCCTCCCGGCTCTGCTTCCGGCTGCACCAGCGAAGTTAGGACGCATAGCATCTTTGTACTGGTGGTGCAGCCTTCTGGGCCTCATCACCCTTTCCAGAGCCATACTGGCCAGCCCTGCTGAGAGGGGGAAAACTCATGCCTTCCCCTTCTCTTTTGTTAGAGGAAGCCACTTTCTCACTACCAAATGTCCCAGAGCTTCCTTGGAAAGCACGTGTCGTGTCCAAGCTCACGTGTCCAGATCAGAGGGCTGAGGTCCCTGTGGTCTAGATGAAGACCAAATGGCATGGAGGACCTTTAATGAGGCTTCTGGTGAACCTTCAAGGGCAGCATGTGCCCAAGGCCCTAGCTGAGCCCCCAGCCTTAGGCATTTGGCAATAAAAGCAGCCCCGGCTGGTCTTAGGTCAATTTCGATTTATTGTCATGCTTTCTGAAGTGACACGGGGGACTGAGGTCCATAGATCGATGTCCTGGAACTGTGTCTTCTCCTCCATCTTTACCAACCTGACAGATAAAAGAAAGCTGCCTCTACAATGGATGTCATCTTGTTATTGCAGACCCTGGAGACGATGGACACAGGGAAGCCATTCCTTCACGCCTTTTTCATTGACCTGGAGGGCTGTATTAAGACCTTCAGATATTTTGCAGGGTGGGCAGACAAAATCCAGGGCAGGACCATCCCCACAGGTGAGTCAAGCAGGACAGACTCTGGCCTCATGGGGGAGTCTCTTTGGGGCTCTGTCTTTTCCTTCCCCCAGGTGGCCCTTTCAGAGCCCCTCCAAGTCATTTTCTCATCCACCCCTCACCCCTGCAAAATGGTGCTGTGCTGATTCCTCTCATAAGGAACATACTTCATTTTTGAAGTTAAGTTCCAATCACTCCTTGTATAACAGACAAGGCTTGGAGCTGGCACCCTCGTGGGCTTCCGGGTTTCCTTCCTGTCTTTACTGCTTGAAATGCTTAACCTTGATGAAGTGAGAGTACTCTTGCCCACTGGGTCACCTTTCTTCCAGATGACAATGTTGTGTGCTTCACCAGGCATGAGCCCATCGGTGTGTGTGGGGCCATCACGCCAGTAAGTCTGACAGCTTTTCTTGATAGACCCTTATATAGACCCCACCCAGCTTCTCTGTGTCCTTTGGAGCCAACTTCTGGTGTGTGTTTTGTGCGTTGTGCCAGTACTAATTGAGCCTGTGTTTGGTGGCCTGGTACTCCAAGGCAAGGGCTCTTGAGATAGGTTAGACCCCATTTCTCTCTCAAGAGGCCAGCTTTAGGTGTTGGCAGAAGGCATGGTAGATTCCAGCCAGTGGTTAGGAATGACCAGTATCCCTAGGAGGTGGTTTTTAGCTGGGCCTTAAAAAAAAAAGACAATTCAACAGGAAAAAGGGGTTCCAAACAGGATTGGCCTGGACAAAGTGGGGCTGCTTGGAAGGAAAGAGCAGGTGGGAGCCAGAGGTCAGGTGGAGATGAGCACCTGTGTCAGGTGGCAGAGGCCCACTCTGGCAGCCTTGGCTGCTGAGGGGCTGGGGCTTCCATTGGGCCGTGCCAATGCTGGTAGGTGCCCCAGGCATGCAATGATGCTGCCCATCTGTTTGGGAAGCCCAGGTGCCCAATGTGGCAATCAGGCTGGAGGATGGGGAGGCAGTCAGCAGAGTGAATTGAGGATTGAAAAAGTGCTCAGGAGGCAGGGAGGATGTCGCCCCCGCAACAAACATTTTGGAAGGGAATGTCAAATAGATCCAGCTGAATTCACTCCTCCTGGGCTACCTAGCCATCAGGACCTCACAGGTACAGTTTAGGAAGCACTGGGTAACCATGTAGCTCTGACCATGGCATCTCCTGTGTCACCCATCAACCCAAAACCTAAATGGTGAAAAGCAAGTGGTGTCCTCCCCAGAGGCATCCTTGGGCACCTGGGTGGGAGCGGGATGGACCTGGGCCCCCAAGGCCTTCCCTGTGCTCTGTCCCAGTGGAACTTCCCTCTGCTGATGCTGGTGTGGAAACTGGCGCCCGCTCTCTGCTGTGGGAACACTGTGGTCCTGAAGCCGGCCGAGCAGACCCCCCTCACTGCCCTCTATCTCGGCTCTCTAATCAAAGAGGTAAGACATCCAAAAAGAAAATAGTATGTGTTCTTGATCGCATTCCCACTCCTAGGAACCGCTCCCTGTCACAGGACGTGACAGTGGCAGCCAGCTCAAGATGGAGTGGGAAAGGAGCAGTTCCCTGTGTTTGGCTTGGCAGCTGCGCTTTCTTTCTCCTGCTTATGGTCACTGAGCTGGAAGAAATGCCATCCCTCCCAGTGGTCCCAGTGAGAGCATGCCACTTTTATTGCGGGCTCAAACCTATGGTTTAAAACTCAATGTTTTTGTCTAGAGGATTTGCAGGAGGGTCACCCGAGAGGGAGCCAAATATCCAGGGGGTTCTTTGGGCTGTGGAGTTGTGGGGTGTAAAATGGTCCTCTTCTCTCTTGGAGGAATGACCCTATCCATGCTAGCTGAAGTAGCACAGCCAATCCAGTCTGCTCCAGGGGCCTCCCCATCAGTGCCCTCTTCTCTGCTGGTAACCATCTTCCCCACAGGGACACTGTCTCCCAGACCCATCTGGCAACCTATTTTATTCATTCCATCATCAACTTGTATATATAGCAAAGACTTAGAAAAAGAAACAGGAAGAAAAGAGGGGTGGGAGAAGAGGTCCTTTCCTTTCACTTTTCTGCTGGATCCATGGGACTGGGATGCATGTCCTGTATTCCTGTGATCAAGGTTGGATCAATGGATAATAAATCCCTCTTTCCCTTTCTTTTGGCCAGTGATGTAGGTCCTGAGCATGACATTGACCGCACTTATGGATTCTAAAATAACGACTGAAAAAATGGGAAAGTAGAGATTTGAGCACTGTGTCCCAAACTTTTCACTTTTTAAAATCATATGTTTTCAGTAAGGCATGGGACAAGTCGGGAGTAGCATCCTCTATCTTGTTCAGTATAGAGTGTTCTTGGTTATGAGGAGCCCTTGAATGTGCAAAAACAGGGCGTGAGTGTGAAAGCAGTGGCAGCCCCTGCCAGCTCCTGTGTGAGCCAGGCTGAATAAGCAAAGGACATGGAGGGAGTGATCTCTTGTTCTATTTGCAACATTAATTTAAATGTGAACAGCGTTGCTTGGGAAGGATGTTTTGCATCCTTCTGTTTTTGTATGTTTTTCAGGTGCCTCTGAGCCTGGGAGTTTGTGACAAAGTGCCTCTCGTCCCCTCAATGCACGTGCACACACATATACACATGTTCACACTCCTACACACTGACATACACATGCACATGTGTACTCACACATGCCACACACACACACACACACACACACACACACACACTATTGCATGCACACATACACACTGAATGGTACTTTTCTACAAGGGGGCCAGTGCCACCTTGTGGCATCATTGTGCATTTATTTGCTCATGAGCCCTCCCTCTTGGAGGAGCCCTGCCTGCTCCCTGGGCTGGCAGCAGGGGTTGAGAAATCCAGGTCAGCTCCCAGGAGCTGACCTTGTCCAGGTCCTGGTGTGTGTGTGACCCGGACCCAGGCTTGCTATGGGGATGCTGCTCTGCGTGGGAACATCACACGGCCACAGCTTTCCCCACCCATGCATCATCTGTGACTGACACTGGTCTGCTCTCTTCCTCTGATGCCATCTTGCTTTCTTCCCAGGTTGGGTTCCCTCCAGGTGTGGTGAACATCGTGCCAGGATTTGGGCCCACAGTGGGAGCAGCAATTTCTTCTCACCCTCAGATCAACAAGATAGCCTTCACTGGCTCCACAGAGGTACCCCTCCTCACTGCTGGCAGAAGTGGCAGCAGCTATATTACTTGAGACCTGCAATTATTTCCTTTAAGAATTCAAATATAATATTTTTTGCTTCTAAATTTGATAATGTTTTAGTTCATAACAATCAGTTTAAAAAGTCACTAGTCTAGTTTCCAGTCTGAATAAATATTTAATAGAACTCAGAAGCCTTAGAATAAAAGATTGAAAGAGAAGATGAATTAAAAATGTAAGACATACATGTCGCACACAATAACATAATGAAGGGATAACTAACAAACTGGGAGAAAGCCCATTGTAAAGTATGCAGATCCCCAAGGGTTTGTATCCTTCATATGTGAAGTATTCCTATAAATCAATGAAAAGGAAAAAAAAGAATGATGGGAAAATGGGCAACACAGAGAAATACTGAGTGCCTAATAATTTAACCTAGTTAATTGGTGATCAGAGAAATGCATGTTCAAATGAAATTCACACTCTTCTTTTGTCTGTCCATTTGGTAAAAACTGAAGTGGTGTTGTTGAGAATATAGGAAAACAGACACTAATCAATACTGTCCCTAAAGTGGAAGGTAAGATTTAGCAGTATTGATTAAAAAATTTCAAAGTGAAAACTTTTGATTCAGAGATTCCACGTTAAGGAAATCACTGTGCTTTGGAGAGATGTGCTCATAACCTTCAAGGACATATTTCACAAATACATCTGCTCTTAAAATGTCATACGGTCATTATAACAAGAGCAACTGTCCATGACCTATTAGGAGATACGAAAAACTGAACTGTAGGAAATTAACTACAACATGATCCCATTAGTAAACCTATGTGTGTATGGAAATGGAAACCATCTGGGAGGATTCCCAAGAAATGACAATGGCCATCTCTGGGGCAGATCCTGGAATGTGAAATGAGAAAAGACACAGATGTCCCCTTTAATTTATATGCATCTATATTTGGAATTTTTTTAATGAGAATAATCTTCTGTACTTAAAAAAGAAATGAATAAGTGCTTCCCATGTCACAAACACTCCTACCTCCATTCTAATTTAATCCAATAAGGAACCTGCCCCCTCTTCTAGAACCCTAAAGGAGGGTGCTGGTGTCCTCTGCTTTGACAGCCACGGTGGGCATCATGTAAGAGTGTAGTCAGAATTAAATTGGGCTCTAACCTACAGCCACGACGGGCAGTGGGTGCTCAGGACACTGAACTGAATAGCTGGTCCAATCATCAGGACAGAGCCGTGGCTCCTGCCCTCCAGGGGCTCCCCTGCCTTCTCACCCAGCAGCAAAGTTGTCCCCGCCCCTCCCACGCCTCTATGCAGACGTCCTGTGCCTTCTCTGGGTAACCATAAGTCCAGCTGGGAGGTGCCTGCTTCACTCAAAAGCCAAGGCCAAGCAAATGGCCTCTGTGGTCCCAGGGATTGCTCAGCCGGAGAGCACCTCCAAAACCAGGTGCTTTTAAACTGCCCCTGCAGCCCCGCTGCCCTCAACACCCCACCCCACCTCGCCGTAAATTGCCATCCTGGGACAGGCTGGTTTTGCTTTTGTACTTCCCTTGGAGACAAGTATTGTCATTATGGATTCCAGACCTCATCTGGGCCATCACCCATGAGCTTGAAGATTTTATTGTAGTCTATTTTATTTTATTTTCATAGTGCTGGGGATGAAGCCCAAAGCCTTACTCCACAAGCCCTCTACCATGAGCTACATGCCCAGTCCGAGCTTGCTGGTTTTTAAAATGTGTTCCTCCCCCGGCTTTGGGAGAAAAGCCTCAGCCCTGCCTTTGCTAGCTGTCCAGCTCTTGGGCCTCAGCATCATCAGCTTTGGTCTCTAAGCGTCTTTCCGGCTCTAACATCCTTAGTGTCTTGCTTTACTTATTTCTCAAATTAAGTCATGGAGGCATGCTGGATAACCCTCCACTCCAGGGCAGGCAGGCGTTGGGCCATGGGAGAGACCCCACTGGACACGGGAGGGAGGCTGAGTGTTACTGTTTGCTGTCTGATGGATTCTTCTCCTGTTTCTTCATCATGCCTCAATTCTCTGCCCACCTGCCCACTACTAGCTTCAGTCCTAATTCTCAAAACGTCCTTCAAATTATACCAAAGAGCCACGCCTTCCCTACTGGGCTGTCGGAATTTCAGCTATTACTACCACTACTACTGAGAGGTGGAGGAGTCGCCCCTCAATATCTCAGTATCTTGAGCCCTTTTCAGATGCACTGGGCCAGACTGCCGGGTCCAGAGGGGCAGGTTCTGGGAAGGCAAGTAGATGGCTATGCCCGTGGGCGAATCTCAGGGCCATCCAGAGATTCCCATCCACACCTATGAGTGGAGTGGCTCCAGGTTGTCAGATCAGTCTAAGGGGAGATGCTGGCCGAGGCCACAGGAGCTCCATCAAGGCCTAGGGCCCCACCGAGAGGCAAGTGCCCTGGCCCTGCAGTGCTGCCTGCCAGGCTGGTCCACGACACTGGCTAGCATGTACATTTCAGCTACATTAAGTTATGTCCAAGGTTTAATCTGGCTTGTTTTTTGTCCTGAAGGTTGGAAAGCTGGTTAAAGAAGCCGCCTCCCGGAGCAATCTGAAGAGGGTGACATTGGAGCTTGGGGGCAAGAACCCCTGTATCGTGTGTGCTGATGCTGACTGTGAGTCTCTGTCCCTTCTGGGCTTTTATTCTGGAACTTCAAACATCTGTAAATCCTGCCCCACTTCCTGGCCTGCATTCAGGACCAGCTGAGAGAGACATGGTCACAGTCAGTGGGGGTATTTCCCGCCTTGGGCCAGCCTGCTGCCTGCCAGCCATGACCAGGCAGATAGAGATCACACCGTCTGCTCTATTGCTGATAGAAAGCTACATTGGAGAAAGACATGGCCAGGGCAGAAGCTGGAGGAGCTGCCTGACGCTGCCCCTCACGATTAAGTTCATGTTCCTGACTCTGCCAGGCTGCAGTTGGGGCCCTGAGGAGCAGACAGGCCTAGTTTCCCCCCAACCCAGACTCCCTGTAGGGTGGAAAAGGGGCAAGAGAATGAGGGAAAGTGGGGAGACAGGTGTTCTTCACTCTCAGCAGCTGTTATTCTACCCTTGAGTCAGAATCTCCTGCAGTGTTCCCAGGCTCTCTGAAGAGTTGTATCTTCCTTCTTTGTCTCCTGCCTGATTGATAAATCAGAGAAAGATGGTGGCAACTGACTCTTAAAAAAAAAAAAAAAAAGCCCATGGTCTGTCTGGGTACTGTCTCTTCCCTGGGAAAGCCACCTGCACAGCAGTTAGGGAGTGGCTGGAATCTTGCTAGAGTTGCATGACATAATATTAAAATATATGCTATTCTTGGCTGCCATGTCTAGAAGAGGATAGAAAGGACTATACTGGGCCTTCATTTACCTACAGGGTCAACTATCAAAAAGTATGACTTCCCAATACCTTGAGGACCTTTGCCTTAAAGAATGGCCTCCCCTGTGTGTTCACTACTGCCAGAAATTCCTGTCATAAAGAATAAAACCTTCCATTCCACACACAGATAAGGCTGGAATGGCAAATATCCCTGAGGGGCTAAAAAATGGTCCTGGCACAATTTCTTGCTATGGTGTGAATGACTGATACCAGTTCCTTTTCCTGAAGCTGGTTTTCAGTGGGAGAGAAGCAGGGTAAGGAAACAAGCACCAGATGGACTGCCCATTTCTTGCCTGGGTTGGTGCTCCCTTGTGGAGGCATCATTAGTATTGCTCATGGTCTCTAGAGCCACATGGAGCTGTTGGGTGTTGCCCTATTGCAGCTCATATTTGGAATTCTAAACTCTCATCCAAAAGAGTCAGGACTCCTGTTTTGCATTCTTGGGCCACTGTGTCTGGGGTCCTCATCTGCACTCCAGCTCTCCTTCTTGTTCTTTTGTGGCACAAAAGTCACAACCATAACCAAAAAGTCACAGGACACATTCTGTTTGGGAGTTGGTTTTATAAGGATCAAAAAAGAAAGAAAGAAAGCCCACACTATGGAGCCATCTCCTATTCCTAATCTGGGCAGTGCCAGTCCATGAAATTAAATCCTGACATAATATCAGGGGTAACACACCACCCTTCCCTGACACTTCAGCCCTCACCCCCAGCTCCTGTCAGGGTGCAGGAATGAATTAGTTGTCTTGGGGGAGGGTTTGTGTAAATTGGCACCCAGCCCAGCTGCAGGGGTGGTGGTTGCAGGGAGGGTCAACAGCTTTATGACGCGCTGTCCTGCTACCACCACAGTTTACAGGCAAACCCGCCAATGGCAATGGCCTCCTTCTCAAGTCCAAGGGCAGAATCCCTCAGAGCTGTTCGGATGGACTTGGAATGAATCACCTTCCAATGCCTCCTGGGGCCCTGTGCCTTTGCCCAGTGTAAAGGGAAGCTTCATTTCTTAAGCAAGCAGTAGTATGAGATGCTGGAAAACCAGCCAACCATTGAGCACTAATAGCCCTTCTGTAAATTTGTAAATGCAAATGACATCTGACTGTCATCTTCACCCAGCAAGCATGTCCCCCCAAATCTGTCTGTATAGCCTTCTAGCTAGGCTTTAGCAACTAATTCAGCACTGGCTCTATGAATCAGTGATTCAGATCCAGGCCTGAGGTTAAAGCCCTGCCTTTTTTAAACTTCTGAGTCATAGATGGCATCAGGTTACTTACAAGACCCTTCTTTCACTCAAGGTGGAAAAGTTTGAGTCCTTTAAAAATTCCTACAATTGGCCCACATCAAAACTTGCCCGAGTTTTTTTCCATGGAACATTAGTTAGTCTTTCAGAAAAAGGGCTGAAGAAAGTTCCATGGGCAAGGGGCATGGAAGGTGCTACACCTCTCTGTGCCCATTAACATATTTGAGGTCCTGAGAGGTCCTGCAGGCAGGGGACTTACTTAACCCCAGACCTGAAAATCCTTTTTTCCCATCCTCTCTGGGAAATGCTGAGAACAAAATTAATTTCTGAATTGCAGCCATCCTGGGGCCTGTTTTCTTGTGTGGGCAATTAGAGTTGCAGCTGTCGCCAGGCCTCTTTAACAACTTAATCGCTTCCTCTTGCCTTGCCCGCCCGCCCCCTCCAGTGGACTTGGCAGTGGAGTGTGCCCATCAGGGAGTGTTCTTCAACCAAGGCCAGTGCTGCACAGCTGCCTCCAGGGTGTTCGTGGAGGAGCAGGTCTACTCGGAGTTTGTCCGGCGGAGCGTGGAGTACGCCAAGAAACGGCCCGTGGGAGACCCTTTCGATGCCAAAACCGAGCAGGGGCCCCAGGTAATCCGCTGAAGTGTCTGCGTATGTGGTGCTCCTCTGGGGACTGAACAGAACAGACGTGTGGCCCTACACAGTCCCCACACACTACAGGCTTTTGTGTAGAAGCCCATCAACTATATGATCCCATCGGGTTTCAGCAGGGCTATGACATGGGGGTGGACACACAGAGACACAGGGCCTCCGGAGGAAGGAGAAGTTCCCAGGGCAAAAGGCCATCTGCCTGCAGCATCCAGTCCTCTCAGTGTACTGTCCTTCTCCTAAGCCAGACCAGAGCGTCAGGCCAAGCGTGGTCTCCCTGCAGCACAGAGCAGCCAGGGCAACAGAGGAGCCAGCAGTCTTGGCTGGAGGCCCTCGAGCTCACATGTGCTGTAGCACAAGATGACCATCAGAAACCAAAGAATCCCGGATAGAGAGGGCTCTGGGGATGGGGATGCATTCCGAGCAGTAGGAACAAGTCTCTGGAGGCTTGGTTTGGAAAGCCAAGGACAGGATGAAAATGACGGTAACCATGAGATTTAATAACCTCTTTAAAAGGGCACATCCTGTATCGCTTTCTTACTAATTATGAAGTGAAGCAGATGGATAAATATTTAAAAGAGGACAGCCTGACCATCCCATGTATTATTGAAATGGAGCTCGGCAGCAACTTACTGCTTTTAGCCAAATCCTTGCTCTAGCCCTGACGTTTCAAATCCCGTGTCTGTGACTTACCCCCGGTATCTATCCTGAAAGCTCACTGCTTACCCACTGCATCAGCACCCCGTGTTTACACAGGAAGTTGTGGATCTGAGCTCAGATTTGTCTCTGTGGCCTTGTGAAAGTCATATGATCCTTCCACCCCTCAGTTTCCTTATCTGGGAAATGGGAGTAACAGATAAATATTACAAGAATTTCATGACACCTAGGAGCTATTCAGTGAGAGGTAGGGTGTTTTTCCATATATATTTAAAAGGAAGAAATATGAAATGACAGTCCTCCAATCTAGGTGGCATGAATGTCTATGTGTGACTTCAAGTTTTATTATCTATCCTGTGGGGAGAGTCTAACTGGGGAAATAGGAACAAGGGATGCTTTCATGGCCTTAGTGCCCACCCTCCCCTGGCTCCAGCTCATGAGTTTGCTGCTCTGTACCTCATGCTATGGTGGAGAAGCAGCTCCACTCATGGCCAACATCCCTTGTCCCCAGCAGCAGCCACAGACTTAGCAGTCAGCAATATGGGGCAGTCTATGGCCTTGGTTGGATTTCAGCTCTCAATGCAAACATTACCACAAAGTCATTATCAAATCCACTGTGATTTTTTGAGGTAATCCAGAAACAGTGGGAAATATGTGAGCTGACCCCCAGACTAAGGACCCTTTTTTACCCTGTCATTGTTTGTTAGTTTTTTTCCAAGGCTCCAGTCCTGACTCGTGAAGCCAGATATACCAAGCTCTTCCCAGGGCGTGGATGCAAGGGCGGTGGGTGTTGATTTCATCTGTGCTTTCATGCTGCTGTTCAAAGTCCTTTTGAAAGCTCACTTAAGCCATCTAACCTCAGCTTATTATTTTAGGATGTTGTTGGTTTTTTTTTTTTTTTCTCCCCAAGTGCTTTTTCATCCACGGTAATAAGATTTTATTCTGAGAGGACTTACAGCTGTCTAAATAGTCCTGTCTGCCTCATGCCTGTAAAAGAGCTAGCTGACCTAGATCAGTGTCCACTGCTGGAGAGCCGCTTGCTGGAGCACTCCAAACTCATTCAGGTTTATTTGGCAACTGAGCAACCAGGCGCATAAACAGTACGCAGGCCACCTGGCCAGGGCAGGATCCAGAGGCATCCTCCCAGGCAGAGAGAGAGTAGAGCTGAGCCTTGGGCCAGTCCTCTGAGGGCTGTATTTCCATGTTTCTGGTGATGTGCCCTGCCCCGTCATCTCACTTCCTGGCAGGTCCTTCTTCCTGTACTGTAAGGCACCAGCTGATATTTCATGGGATGATTATTAGATTTAAACAGTGTGTCCATATGGACTCACCAGGGAGAGTGTTCAGATGTGTAGGGTTTTCACTGGGATTCAGTGCTGCCTGCAAGACAGACAGGGTCTTCCGGGCGGAACATGGTCAGCAGCCAGTGAGAATCTGTGGTCTGATGAAGCCCCTTAAGTGAGTCCTGTTGGTCCCCAGGGAGGTGGAGGGAGACAGCAGCACCTGGAACTTTTAAGCCAAGATTTGGTTCACACAGAGAGAAGTTGAGCTATTACTGGATCCATTGTAGTGTTCTCATCATTTTCTCAAGTGGGAATACACGCATGTGGTCTAAGCCCTAGATTTGTGAAAAGGTCTGTAGTGAAAGTGCTCTTTCCTACCCTCCCCACTTAACACCCCTGGTTCTTGCTCTTCCTCACTATGGGTATCCCATGTTCTTAATTTTTGGTGTATACCTGGAGAATTTCTTTATGTGTATACAAGCAAATATGGACATGTATTCTGATTTCCTCCCTCATTTTTATGCAAAATACACCATGATAGCTCTACCATTTGGCACTGTGTTGTATCTTAGCAAGAAATTTGAAGGTCTTTCTATATCTGTCAACGGGCACCTGCTTTGTTCTTTTATACGTGCACGTAAAATTCTGCTATATGAAGCCACTGAAATTTAAATAACATTCCCATGAACATGTGGGTGTGTGCAGCCACACACAATGCCTCAGTGTGATTTTATACAGGCACAAGGAAATCCATTCCCCAAAGTAGTGTTGCTAAGTGAGAACACATTTGTAATTGTTGAATTACATTCCACAGCACATTAAACCAATTTTTGTGCATACTCACATTGTATAAGCTTTTTTCCCCAACACTACCAACAGAATATGGATTCTTGCCCACCTGAGAGTTAAAAATGGATTATTATTTAGTTTTTTAAAGTTTTAGTTGTAGATGGACATAATGCCTTATTTTACTTACTTATTTATTTATTTTTACATGGTGCTGAGGATTAAACCAGTGCCTCTCATGTGCTAGGCAAACGCTCTACCACTGACCCACAACCCCAGCCCTTATTTAGTTTTAATGTACATTCTACTCTCAAATAGTAAGGGAAAACATTTTGTCATATACTTAAAAGCCATTTGTGTTTCCTTTTCTATCCAATGTGAAAATGCTTTACATATTTTTCTCCAGTATATTGGTCATTTTCTTATCACTTCTAAGACCTCCTCATAGATACACTAGAGAGATTCGTTTTCTTTAGGACTTGTCAATGTTTTTTCAAAGTCCTTTTACTTTGCTTATGATTTTGCTTCCTCTTCTCCCTTCCTTTGTTCTTTCGTACTCAAATTTATGAATCTTTTCTCCTTTGGCTTGTGTATCTCAAGTCATAGGCCATCAACACTCCAAGTTTGCAAGGACAGTCTCCCACAGGAGAGAACTGAAAAACTTGTATGTTTTCATTGGTTATGGTTACATCTTTGATCTATTTGGAATTTTCCTGATATAAGGTATGAGGTATGGATCAGATTCAGTATTTTAAAACTGGATCCATATTTCATGAGTCTTTCAGTCAAATGGCATACACGTTTTACACCCTCCCCTTCTAAGAAAGCCAGCCTGCTCCTCGGAGATAGTCACCGAGATGCACCATTGGGTTTACTTATTTCTCTATTTAACATCGTTAGACTGAAACCAGCTCTCCTAGCTAAAAATCTCAGCTACCGTAAACCTATTAAAGCTCTGTCTCCCCTGGTCCACAAGGAAGGGCACTGTCAACAGAGTCATGATGGAGAATAGGGATCCCATGGATTTCAGGAAGAAAGCCAGTGGAGGGGAATATGAAGAGCACTTTTACAGTTGAGCTGTTCCCCATAGGGGGACCATTTTCACAGACAGTAACATGTCCACAAATCGGGTATTAGGTTATAGTACAGGGCACATTCCAGCCAAGGAGACCTCTAGACAAGATAGCAAAAGATGGCAAATTCATATTTGTACATAGGAAAGGAATGAATCTGACCTAACTTTACTATGTACAGAAATGAACATACCACAGTGAATCTCACCATTGTGTACATCCACAAGACACTAACTACAACAACAACAAAAAAAAACTAAAAGTAAACAGCAGAAAGATCAGTAAAGGAGAGGGAATGGAACCAGGGAAGGGAGGTGGGGAGGAAAAGGGGATGTACCAGGGACTGAATTAGAACAAATTATATTCGCTTTTATAATTATATAAAAATGAATCTAATGTTATGTTTAACTGAAAAGAACCAATAAAAAAGAAAAGATATTTAAATTAAAAAATGTATGTGTAGAAAAGGTGGAGCCTTTCTGATGAGCTGGTTCCACACCCACCAAGGAGCAGCCCCTCTGCTCCACCTTGAAGTTCACTCTACTCTGCTTCCAGAGTTGCTGGGTAGGGCCATCAGCTTTCCTGCTCATGTCTCCTCACCATGAAAGGAGAATTTCAGAACAGTTCCCTTGATCCATGGTGTTAAGTGAGCAGGGAGCAGGATTGCCTGGTTAAATACATGATACCCATTAGATGCGAATTCCATCTAAACAACAAAGGCCTTTTTAGCACAAGTATGTCCCAAACAATATTTTTATAAATGTTTTTATATTTTTAATAAATGTCTCAAGCAAATATTGTTTGGGACATACTTATACTAAAAAAAAAAGATCATATGTTGTTTTTCTGAGATTCAAATTTAGCTGATTTATATTTTTTTATTTATTAAGTTCAGCCACTTTAGCAGGGTGCAAAGTGTTGAGAAAGCAAAGAACATGAGAACTTCAAACCAATTTCACCCCCTGGCCGGCCTCACAGCATGGAGAAGGGAATCAGATGGGTGAATGAACCCCAAACCTGGGGAGGGTGAGAGCAGCCTATTGCCCAGGTCTCCCCTGGTCCAAAGGGCGCAGGTTTGTGCATTGGAGGCACATTTGCCTGCGAGGCATGGTTGTTATATGACTTAGGGCTTGGTTAAGGCATGTGGGGGAGGCCAGCATCAGAGGCCATTGATAGTATAAGATGGTGCTCCTGCCCCACGGGGAGGAGCCTTAATTCCCTTCTGGGTTTTGCAGATTGATCAAAAACAGTTTGACAAAATCCTGGAGCTGATTGAGAGTGGGAAGAATGAAGGGGCCAAACTGGAATGTGGGGGCTCGGCCATAGAAGACAGGGGGCTCTTCATCAAACCCACGGTCTTCTCAGAAGTGACGGACAACATGCGGATTGCCAAAGAGGAGGTGTGTGTGGCTGCAGCCAAAGCTGTAGCCCCAGGGGTCCTTCAAACCATTCTCCTATAAGGGCCCGGAAACATCAGAAGTCTTTGTGGATGAACATTTGTCTTTTCTGTGTGGCCTTTCCTCTCTTCCTTAGGGCCCCTAAGGAGATACTTCCTGTCCCCTGTTCCCAGGTCTCTGGCACACCCTAAGGATGGGATGCCAGCCAGAGACTTGGTGCTAGCCTCAGTCTCCACTCATTGCTCTGGATCTCTGGGGAGTAGCCACCCTCCCCTGTCTTCTAGCACATCCCTGAGTTCATCATGAAGCCCACGTGTGGAAAGCAGCCTCCACCTGTGGGTCTTGCCAGGAATCCAGCTGTAAATTCAGGGCTCAAAGTTGTCTTGAGTTCCTCCAGATAAAGCGTAAATTACAAGTGCTCATTCGAGGAATGTGTCCCAGCAAGAATTCTCATTGAAGTTTTCCATCAGGGCCATTCCTGGGAATGATGGAAATTAAGGAGACCCCATAAGAGTGTAAATCTACCCTTGTCCTCCAATCCTACTGGTAGGCAGATGGAAGCACGTTCCTGCACAGGGCTTTTAGGACAAGACCTGATACCCAGTGATCTTTTGGGGCACGTGAAAGAATGAGCACTGCTGGAGGGCTCCCTGGACAGGTGCTCCTCCTTGAGATTTTGAGGGGTTACTAACACCGCCAGGATGACACGAAGCTTAGCTCCTTAAACATCCCCATGATGAGAGGTCCTGGGGAACCTGGGAATGTGTTTCCAGAGACTGGGCACCGTCCTGCGGAGACAGACTCATACCTAACATTAAATCCACTGCAGGCTCCCTTCAGAATACCCCTTAAATGTGCAAGCTCTCAGTTCTTCCCTGCCTTTTCTTTGCTGGGTTGTAGACTGTGTGAGCACTGTCCCATTTCCTCCCCTAGGAGATATCATGGAAACATGTTAGGGTGTCCTCATTAGTGGAAAAGCAGCACCAGGAGGCTGGGCCACACAGTCCTACAGCCCTGCTTAGGGACACCCTTAGAGATAACTTTCCAAAAAGGCACCTGGAAGTTTGTCTTCTGTGCACCCCACCTGCCCACAAGGCAGGGGGTTCTCAGAAACCCTGATCGTAAAGACAGATCGCAAATACAACATATGGGGGGTTGTTATTTTTTATTTTTATTTCATTTTAATCCTTTTCTTCAGAGCTCAACCATCATGCAGCTAGAAAGATGTCTACTGTTCCTTCTTCTCCATGAATAAGACCCCACCTGCATCTTAGGTGCCCCAGTTATTAGACACTTAATGTAGATGATGCCTAACACATGAACTTGTGAAAAAGGCATACAACCAGGGAAACACCTGCTCGGAGCATACATCTCCACCCAAACATGCCTCTCACTGCTCTTCTTGCAATTAATCATAGATTTTTGGACCAGTGCAGCCAATACTGAAGTTCAAAAATATTGAAGAAGTGATAAAAAGAGCAAACAGCACTGACTATGGACTCACAGCGGCTATATTCACCAAAAACCTGGACAAAGCCCTGAAATTGGCTTCTGCATTGGAGTCTGGAACAGTTTGGTGAGTTGAGTGCTTGTGTGTGTGTCGGCTCCCCTCAGTTGCTGGCTGGGTCCTTGGCTATTTCTCTGTTAGCAGAGAGCATCTAATTGTATATTATGTGGCACCCACTGTGTGGGCACTTTGCTAGAGCCTCATGACTACCTTCTGAAATGGGTTCCCTTATGGTGTTAGGTACCACATTTTACAGATAAGGAAACCAAGACACAGAGAGGTTGAGTGACTTTCCCAGGGTCACGTACTGTAAAGTCATCTCTCAGTAACCTTAGGGGACTGGTTCCTGGACCTTTATATACTTGAATGTATAAGGTACTCAAGTCTCTTATATAAAATGGCACAGTTAGGGCATATAACCTAGGTACATCATCCAGTATACTTTAAATGAATTCTGGATGATTTATAATACCTAATACTTTTATCAATGCTATGTAAATAGGTGTTATATTGTATTTATTAGGAATAATGACAAAGGGATAAATCTGTATATGTTCAGTACAGATGCAATCTTATTTTCAAAAATTTTCAATTAAGATTGGTCGAATCTGAAGCTGCAGAATCTATATATGAAAGGGAACAGCTGTACCAGGCAGAGCAAGCTTCAGGGCCTATGCCTTTGATCAACTCTGCTGACTACCTGACTCTGGTTCTGATTCTAAAATCAATACATGCTCATCTGCAAAGTCTGGATACTAGTTCCTGCCTCACCAGTAATTCTAAAGATTATATATTGTAATTCCCATTTTAAAGATGAATGGATTGAGGCTTAGCAAGTTTGAGTAACAAGCTTAGAGTCTCGTAGTTCAGGAAGCAGAACTTGGAGTCAGGTCTGTGTTATTTCAAAGCTAATTCTTATTCCCTTAGGCCATAATATTTTTCTTCTTTGTGCTTGTCTTTTCATTTGATTCCTATTCCAATGAAAAGCTCTGGGCTGAACTATATTCAAATTTTAGCTTCTGGTGGAAAGAAGAAGGCAGAAGTTAAGAACTCACTGAGTTTTAATATTGGAATTTTGCCAAAGGCCATGTGTTAAGCAATTAAGTGTCTAATTACTGGAGCACCCAAGGTGCAGGTGGGGTCTTCTCCAGGTAACTCTCAGTATCTTTTCATCCTTTATCTAGGATCAACTGCTACAATGCACTCTATGCACAGGCTCCATTTGGTGGCTTCAAAATGTCGGGGAATGGCAGAGAACTGTAAGTGTTTCTGGCACCCTAAACCTGCCCACCTAGGAATGAAAGATACACTAGAATTGCAGTGCAGCAACTTGAGCTCTCACCTGATCCCCTAACCCGCTCTGTCTGGGGCAGCCCTGTCACGAAGGCTGGCAGTCCATTCCCCACCCTCATCCTTAACCTGACTTCCCCCAGGCCACAAGACCAACCTCCAGCCTCAGCTTTCCTGCCAGCCCTCATCCTACAGGGCATGTTCCCTAAATCCTTGATCTAGGCTTGCCAGAGGAGGCCACAGAGCTCTGAAAAAGCGCACTTTTTGCCAAGCATAGGCTGTCATTATGCACAATCTCCACTTTCGGCAAGGAAGATAGATTCAAACCCAAGTCAGGCTTGGAATCTTGTGAGCCCAGCAGAGGCCCCAAGAGACACACCATGGGTCAATCTAGTTCCTTCTTGATACTACTTTGGGAGTCCTGCTGGGCCTCCAGATCCCATCAGTGTGTTCCAACCCACCACCTACCCCTCCAACATCTCCTTTCTTTCTGGCCTGCTGGGAAAATGAGCTCTGTAGGGTTGAGATTCATGGACAGGCCTTCTTGCATCTGGCCCAGGTCCAGAGCTGGATGGAGTGCCCCCAGGGGTGGAGACGCTGTGGTTTCTAGCTGGCTCTGGCTGCTTTCCCCATCTCCTTCTTGGTGCTGCTCAGGATTTTATTAGCCTTGTGGACAAACATCTTGTAGGCTCAATGTTCCTAGGGAACCATCTGTGACAACACCCCAGGGCTGTTCCTGGGACATTTCTAAGAGCTTGAGTTCTTCCTTTTATTTAAACAGTTTGGGTCATTTATATACAAATGCATTACCTTATACTTGTTTGCACATCTTCTAGTGGGAACACACTCAAACGCTTCCCCGTAACTTGGGTCTTGGTGGGGCCTTTAAGGGCTCTACTTGTAGATACTTGAAGATAGTGTTAGAAAGGAACTGTTTTAAAGATACTGTTATAAAGGAAGAGAGCTGGCTTCCACCCCTGAGCAATTGCTCTTGACCAGTCTGCATGGAATCAGGGACCTCGTATCATATCAGTCCTTCTTTCTAATCTAACTGATGGCAAATGCCCCGGAGTCATCTGCGTGTCTGAGTGGAGAGCATCCTCTTTATTTCTATAACTGGTTTCCCCTTCAAGGAACTTTAGTAAATTCTTGATCATGAAGTCCTTTTGCAGCAGCCTCTTTCCTCCCCCTGGTGGCCGGCTGGTGTCTCTTTGCATTCTCTGAGCCTCTATTTCATAATAAACTCTTAAAACTGCCTGCCCACCTGAGACAGGAAGCCCAGACTGAGGTCACCTGGGTTCCCTCCAGGATCCTCCATAGTGCTGATCGCAACCGGCATTTGCTGAGCAGACTCTAGGAGGCTCTGTGAAAGCCCTGCATGTTAGTTCATGTCCTGTGACAATCTGTGAGGGGGTACAACTGCTTTCAGATGAGCAAATGGCCCAGAGAGCTAGTGAGTAGCAGAGCAAGGAATAAATGCTGGCAGCTTGGTCCCTGGACCCCCCACAGTAGAGAGCCTTGCTGGGCAAGGGTCACCTCTGGAAGCCACCTGGAGTGAAGCCAGCAGGGCTCATGTGGTCATTTGCCTCCTCTGACCTTCTGTCTTCACCCAGTCAGGTCATGAGGGCTAGGGAACTCGGATCCCCTCAGAGGCCAGATGTGGCAGCAAGAACTCCAGTCCCCAAAGCAACTGTCCTTATTTGTAGAAGCTATAGGAAGGCACATGGGGTCACCTGATGCCTAGTTTGTATGTCCCAAACTGATTCCCTGCACGGTTTCCTCATCTCCCTTCCCACCACTCCGATGGTGTCCTTACCCGCTAGCACCCCCGTGCCCTGTCCCTCTGGTTAGCCGCAGTTGAAACTTTTTTGAATGTCTGTTTTTTGGATCCTTGACATATATTTTCCCAAAATTTTTGATAAAATATTTTTAAAATATTTACAAGGAGCCTGGAAACTGCCTTCAAAACTTATTTCTATTTTTAATCATCTCTAATTAATGTCTTCATGTTGCAAGAAGTTCCCCCTTTATTTTCATTCTGGAGCACCATGCGGTAGATTCCACGGTTTTCCCCAAACCTGGCCGCCTGAGCTGGGCTGGTTACTGGCTGCCCACCAATGAGCCCCTCCGGGATCTGTTTCTAGTCCAGTCTTGGGATGGAGCCTGCTGTGTTTTTTTCCTTCCTTGTCACTGTTTTCTTTTTTCCCCCTCTAAGTTCTGTGTTTTGCTTTGTAATACAATTGAGACAGTAATAAAAACTCCACATAATAAGACATGGGGAAGATCAAATTCTTCTTTCCCTGATCCTCAACCTCATTTGTTCGAGGTAACTGCTGGTCATTCGTTCATTTTGTTCACTTATTCATTCACTTTGCAAGTGTTTATTGAGCATTTCTGATGCTCAGGTATGACATTAAGTTCAGAACATGTGACAGTGAACAACACAGTCACCAGTCCCTTCCCCCTGGTGCTCTGGTGAGGTTTATTGGGAGAAAGTCTGGGCTCATGAGTGACGTTGATTGCCCAGGTGGATGAGCCACAATGGGTTGATAAGAGCAGCAAGAACTTGAACTAGAACAACTACAGAAACAGAAAAAAAAAATGGGGGTATCAATGTACTTATTCCTACAAGAATGATTTTAATTCTGTATTATTTATTAGTTATATACTAATACAATAGGATTTCATCACTTTCTTTACTTTTATTTAGAAATCTGACAAGTCATTAACAACCTTGAATTTTTACAATGCAACATTTTGTGCTCGTATTGTAGGTTTTCTATGAAAGCAATCAAGTCTTTTCTGGTCTTAGATGAAATGAGAGCAAACTACTCTTTGCTCTTCAGAATGGGTCTTGGTTATCTTTCCATTCTTCTTGGTGATGGTCTCCTGCAATGGACTTTTGTGTTATTTCCAAGGTGTATTGCTATTACAAACCATGCCTATGTTTCCTTGTGTGTGAATCTTTATGCACTTGTAGAAGATTGTTTTCAGAATAAGTTTCTAAAAATTGACTGCTCTGCCACGTGACAAATAGGCTCACCACTGTTTTGGTGTGCATTTCTTTAATTGTGAGAGGTTGAGTATCCTTTTCACACTTTTCAGAATTTGCATTTCTGGTTTGCAAACTATGTCCTTTTGGATTTTTCTGTTTGGTCATTTTTGTTTTCCCAATTGGTTTGTAAGAACTTTTTATATGTTGGGGAAAACAGGACCTATTCCCACACAGGTTTATAAATTATATAATGAATATTATATAATTTATACACATCATATATACATATTAGTTTTCCATCTACTTTTAGGGACTTTTTAAGTGGAGTATCAGTGTTACAGAAGTTGAATTTAGCATTCTGTTTGTGTGTTTAGAAAAATATTATGAAATAATTCACTCATTATCATGGGTTCTTGATGATGAAAGAATATTTAAGAAACTAAGTAAAAATCTCAGTGACACGTTATTAATAAAATAACAATATTACTTTCCACCATTCACATTTTATCTAGCACATGAATTGTTTCTAATTGTTATAACTGCAAGGAGGTTATAGTATTCCCACTTCTCAGATAATGAATCTGAGGCTCAAGAGGGACAAAGCACTTGACTGACCTTCATAGTTCTAAGCTAGTGGTTCTCAAACTTGAGCATGCATCAGAATCCACTGGGGGCTGGTTAAAACAGACTTCTGGGCCACATCCTTGGAATTTCTAATTCAATAGGTATATTCATTTTCTATTATTGCTGTAACAATTTACATAAAATTAGTAATTTAAACAACACAAATGTATTATCTTACAGTTCTGTAGGATAAAACTCTGACACAGGTCTCTCTGAGCTGAGATAAAGGTGTCAGTAGGCTGCATTTCCCTCTAGACGCCATTGGGGGAGTGTGTATCCATGCCCTGTCTAGCTCCTAGAGGCTGTCCTTCCTCCTTGGCTGATGGCCCTTCCTTCACCTTCAAAGCCAGCACTGTGGCATCTCTCTGCACCTGTGTCTTATTTTACTCTCTCTTTATCTGCCTTCTTCTTCCACTTTTAAGGATCATATGACCCACCCAGATGATCCAGGTTATTTTAAAATCAACTGATTAGTCACTTGAATTCCATCAACAATATTAATTCCCCTTTGCCATGTAACCTAAGTCTTTTCAGGTTTAGGGCAGTGAGACATGGACCCTTTGGGGAGGGCCTTTCTTCTACTGGCCACAGCAGGATTCAATAAGGCCTAAGCATAGGCATTTCTAGCAAGTTCCAAGATACAGCACTGGCCTGGGGACCACACTCTGAGGACTTCCGGTCTCAAGGATGGGATGAGACTATCTCAGGTCTTTCTAGTACAGAGCCTCCAGGGACCACTTTGACTTCTACCTCTTTTCCTAAATAAGCACACAACTTTTCTTTACTTAACAGCAGACGGGTGCTATAGAGGAATTTAAACCCAGCCGAAGCTGCTTCTTGGTTCTGGGAAGGGGAGTTGCCACAAGTCTGGCCCATGTGCTGGGAAGGGGCCCCTGACTCCTGTATGACTTAAAGAAAGGAACTGCACCAAGGGCGCCAACTCAAAGGCTGTGTGTCCAGTCTGTGCTAGCATCTGCCCCTCACCCCACCAGGTGGCATCGTTCCTCTTATGCTGGTCCCCAGCTGTGCCCTCCCAGTGTTCTGTCCCTGTGATTCCCTGGCCATATCGTCTGCCAGTAGCCTTAGACTTCATTCTTTTCTGTCTCTTCATGCAGCTCCATATCACCACCTAAAACTTATAAATCCATTGTCATTTCTTTCTTTCTTTCTTTCTTTTTTTTTTTTTTGATACCAGGAATTGAACCCAGGAATGCTTAACCACTGAGCTACATTCCCAGCCCTTTCATATATACTTTATTTAGAGACAAGATCTTGCTAAGTTGCTGAGGATGGCTTTGGACTCACATCCTCCTACCTCAGCCTCCTTCCTGAGCTGCTGGGATTACAGGCATGAGCCATCCCTGTCTTCTGATCCCTGACTTCTCTTTATTCACCTACCCAAGCCCTGTTCTTTGATTCTTAATTCCCTGAACAAGAGAATTCCCCTCGTGTTGTTTTTTTTTAATTCCCTTCATTTTTTTGAAGGTGAACCTTTAATTCTTCTATTTCAAAAATATCACATACAAAAACCTTTATATTTAAACATATTTCCAGTTACTTAAACTCATCATCATCCTAGCTATTACTTTCTTCAGGTTTCAGAGTTTTCCTCCCAATCTCAAACTTTTGTAGAACCCTCAACCCCAAACTGCCCAGTAGAGTAATCAGGCATTAGAACAGTTTCCACAGAACTGTGAATGGACATTCTCAGTTTGACTTTTCTTCTCTTCGGTCATCACAGAGGTGAATATGCCCTGGCTGAATATACAGAAGTGAAAACTGTCACCATCAAACTTGATGACAAGAACCCTTGAAGGAAAGAAGGGCTCCTTCCTCAAACTCTGGACAGCTGAATGTGGCACATCAAACTCGCCAAAGGAAAAAAGTACAATGCTTGACCTTCCCGGGACACTTTCTTCTGGACGCTTTCAATCTACGGGAGATTGAATGAATGCTTTTTCTTCTCCTCTCACACTCACATTTTATTGACCTAACAATGTGGATGCCCAGATGTCATGTGTGAAATTCAGTCCTGTCTGGGGAGGGAGCTGTTGGCCATTTCTAATTTTGCCTTTAGGCCAGATGTGAGAGATAGTGAAGACACTCAGGGCTCCGCTAACAAGAAACAGGACTCGAAGTATCCAGCAGTTGCTTCAGAATGCTTTGCTGAATCTGACTCCAGTAGGAATTGGGAAAGAGCTCCCTGCATGTTCTGCAAGCAGGGTCCCACACCTGTGGTCTTCTCAGGGTTGCCTGTGCACAGGACAATACCCACCCCCCATTCTGAGGAAGGGGAGAGATCATACAGAAGGGAAGGATTAGCACTAAGTTAAAAAGGAAAATTTTGAGGATCTGATGTGGGGAGCTTTTAGGAAGCACATACCATGGAAGGGTGCCAGAGGCCTTGGGCATGCACAGGTATGGGTCTTGGAGGACTGCATATTGACATTGACCATGGGATTCACCTTGAAATCAATACTGCTTTAGGAATATGACCATATCAACATCCCAAGGAGCTTACTCTAAAACTATGTGATAGGCTACTTTAACCAAGGCACTTTCTTGGCTAAAAACAATGTTAGTGTCACCTTTGCTGCTGAGGATCCCAATTTCTGTTACCCCAACAACATAGCAAATCCTAAGATAATTACGTCCCAAGTTTGACAATGACTCCCTTTTACAAATTATGCATTGACACCACATTCAGTAATGGTTTCTGATAAGTGAATACACTTTTCCTTTTCTCTAGTTCCATTACCTATTTTAGGTTAGTAAAAATGTACACAACTGGAAAGACTGCTGTTAGAATACAGCCCTGTTTTTCGAAAGTCCTATTTTGGTATTAATTTCTGATCATTAACAAATAACACTTGGATTCCATAGAAGAACTGGGTCTTCATCCAAGTGACCTGAGAAGTTCACTAACAGGTCACAAAATTTTCAATTTCTTCCTTTGTGTATCCAAATGATGTGCAATTCTATGTTTTAACTTGGAAAACTGAAAGCATTCCCACATAGCTTTAAAAACCAAACCAAACTTAAGTTGTGTTTTTTGGGTACTTTTCTTGTTACTAACTAGTACTTTTCTCATTGGAGGAAAAATGGTGCTTATGTTTGAGGATTAAGTTGGAGTGGGCAATTGTAAAATGAAACTCTGTCAGAACCAGTGTGTATAAAGACAATCATGTCTGAATTAGGGTTGTCATCCTTGTCAGAGAAATGCAATATGCAATTCACCTTCTCTTCTCCAGCAGTTAACACTCCTCACTTGTACTACCAATAACTTGTTAAATCAGGATTTGACTTCGTACACTGAATTTGCAGTATCTCCAGTAACTATAGACACTAACCTTCTTAGTAGTACATTAGAGGGTTCCTATCCTTTCATTGTATAATAATGCCTTTAATATGAAATGCTACCTTATTTATAATTGATATAGTTAATGTATCTTTTTATAGCTGTAAGTGCACAGAGGTGGTGTATTTAACCTTCTGTAATATACTGTATTTAGAAATGGAAATCTATATAATATTAGAATTCACTTCTTTTAATGTTTACCCCTATGGTATGGCTTATAAGTCTATCAGACTGGGAATTCTGATCCTAACTTCAGATTGTGTTCAACAATGATAAAATAAAATCGGATATTTGAGAAATGTTATCTTTTTTTTAATTGATGGACGAAACTCATTTAAATTCTGTGGTAAGCCTGTCTGAGAACTCCTGTACCATATGGCTTGTAATAAAACAGGATCAATGACATGAATAAAATTACATTCCTCAATTGATCAGGTCCAATGTTTACCTGAGTGTAAAACCCCTTTCTATGGCTCTTGGGATTGACCAGACAGGGAGCTAAGCCTCAGAGGTTCTATGTCTTGGTTGACTAAGTTTAAGGCATCATCTAACCTGCCTGAGTCTCTTAGAGTCTCACAAAGTGATGATGGTGTGAGTGTAGAAAATGGGGATTGGTGGAAAACGTTGCATCTCCAACATGAACACGAGTGTCTGCTTTGTCACTTTTCTCTGTAATGACCTAGGTGTTTGGTGTGCATTTACCTATGTATTTAGCAACATCTCATTTCTCAATCCAAGTGAAAGCAGAAAATTATAAAAAATGACGTTCCCCTTCATTCAGTTTTCTGGTATATGTCTTCCTGAAGGGAACCATTCTAGGGACAACAGGATGTAGAGTGTGTGTGCATGAGCATGTGTACCACACATGTGTTATACATGTGTGCTTGTGTGCCAGTGAGCGTGGGTATATTCTCTTAAAGTGGACACTTTGGAGTGCCATAGGTTCTCCTGTTAGTGGATGGAGACTTTCTAAAGTCTTTGTCCCTTGCCCCAAGCCATGTGGAGTGCCTCAAGATAATAAGGGGTGTTTTAAAATTGTTCAATAGGAATGTCTGAGGAAGCTGAGCATCCAATTGAAGAAAGATAGTTAGAAGACACAGAAAGAACAGGTAGTTACTGTACCTTCAAAAGGCAGATTGTTAGTTCAGGGAAGTAGGTGGCTTCCAGCTGATGTAAAAGGGGTCATTCCAACTAGAAGATGCTGAAACTCTGGGTGGGATTTCAGCAAAAGGAAGAAGTCCATGGGTCAGCAAATGACAAAAAGTGAAAGAAATTAACTGCCTGGTACCAAATTTCCTGTACAAACTAGTTACATTGCATGCCTAATGGATAGAGTTAAATGCTGGTCATTTAACTCCAAACAGGTCATCTTCCTGTCGAATATACCAAATGTTTTTCTACACTAGGCACAGTTACTAGCCTAGTCCCAAACTCTTTTAAAAGGGAAGTTAAGTTGTCCCTATCAGCATTGGCCACACACCCCCTAGTGTCAGCCCAGGCCCTGGACGTGCACTTCCTCCCGGTGGCGGTAGATGGCGATGCGGTGCGCCCTGGAGGCGCCACTAGGCGGTCGGGGGGCTCACGCAACACTGTGGCTGCCCCGCCCAGCAAATTACTAGGGACTTTTCGTAGCAATCATACTGCTTCTCTTGCAAACTGGTAAGAGGACCTCAGTGGTGAGAACGGGATTGCAAAATTGTGCCCACTCTTTTGGAAGGGCGTTTTGTTACTGGACAGCCTTGAGAGGAAGCTTCTTGGGAGCAGAGCTGCCAGGTGGTCCCCTTGCCAACTAGACTCCAAATCTAGGAGTGACACCAAGTAACCGCAGCCTGGGGTGTCCTTGAGGTCGTACTGGGACCCGGATTCTGTGAAATGGCAGTGAGGGTTTTTGCAATTTGTCTCTGTGGTTTGTGCAAAGTCCTGGGAATATTTGAGGAGAGACATTACATAATAGTCTAAGGTACTGGTCCTGCCAGGTTGTAGAACCCTCTGCTTTTTTCTGAGCAGAATTCTTTTCTGGATGGACAGACAGGTGAAGTTGAATCTGAATCCTACCTGCAACATGGGCTTCAATGTTTAGGTTTGCTTTTGGTTATATGCTTCAACGACTTGATGAATACCCTTATGACAGGTCCAATCCTGGTGAATTGCCAACATTCCACCATGTTTTATTTGCCTCTACCACCCGCCCCAGGCAGATCATTAAAATGATTCACCAATCAAGTGTGGTGGCTCACACTTTTACTCCAGCTACTTGAGAGGTGGAAGCAGGAGGATGACTTGAGCTCACAAATTCAAGACCAGTCTGGCCAACAGTGAGAACCCTCACTCAAAAAAATAAATAAAACTAAATTTAAAAATTAAAAGATTCACCAAACAGCTACATCTTCGCATATACACCTGTAATTAAATTAGCAAAAGAAGAGCACTTTACAAAATATTAACGTTTTAAAAATACTTCTATATTGTTCTCTTACGGATCCACAGAAATGAATATTCACTGTCTTTTTAATATTTACAACCAGAACAGATGGCCAACATACAAGTTTGAATTAACCTGCCAATTTTGCTGCTCCTAGAGTGCAGTGTGAAAGTTGTACTGAGCAAAAAAACGGCAAATCTTATAACTGTGCCTGACCCCAGGGGAGAGAGCGGGAAACCAAACCCGAAGAAGACCTAGCTCTGCAAAGCCCTAGGGTCCTGGCGTCTTCCAGGGGCAAGCAGTGAACTTGATCACCTACTCCTTACAGCTAGGAAAAGCGCGGCGGGCCATTGAGGGGACTCCTCTTGCCCATTCTGGAGAAGGTCATCAGCTGCAGACCCTTGACCCTCGGGTGCCGCGGCCTTGCCCTGCGAACTCTTGCGCCGCCCGCTTCCCGCCCTCCCCGCCCGCCCGCCGGCCGCAGGATTGAGGAAGTGCGTCTGGGCCCGGCCCGGCCCCAGCGCGCTCGGCCCGAGTCGTGGTGGGCAGAGGGCGGTGGAACCGCCAGGCCCCCGCCCGCTGGTGTCCAACCGCCCGGTCCGGCCTCGCAGTCCCATAGCGTCCGTGCCCCTACCCCGCCGCCGCAGGTAAGTGCTCCTCCGACCCGCACCCTGCCGGGGTGGGGGCCTGGCCGCCTCCTGCAGCGGGCCCGGGAACCCTGCGCCCCCACCGACCCGGCCCGCGCCCAGAATCCGCGTGCAGCCCTGGCCTCCGCCTGCCCACCCGTCCGCGTGCCCTGTGACCCAGGCCCGTGCCCCAGGCGGCCGCGTGCTTGGGCATGGGTAGCCTTTACCCAGGGGGCAAGGACCACAGCTCGAGGGGCGTGGAGAGCGCGGGGCGACCCCCGCTTCACAGCCCTGCTTCCTCTGGCCGCGCCCGGACCCCAACCATCGGGCAGGTTAGGGAGTGTGTGGGGGCCCAGGCAGGGAACCCCGCAACTCCGCGCGGCGCGGGTGGGAGGGAGGCAGTGCAAGAGACAAA